TGTGCATAAGCCCTTTTGTTTAGGTGTGACACTCATTTTGAGTTTTTATTGCTTTAAACACATTTTCAGCCCGAGTCCGAAACCGGCCCCTCTCTCAGAGAACGGGATCATGGCGAAAAGGTTCGGTAAGAGAAAAATAGAATGCGGGGTATTTAAACCAAAGCGGCGAAACGATGTTTTTGTTTTTGTTTCTTTCAGCGCAAAGAAACGTCTGTCAGTCTCATCTGTCAAGAGGTGGCTTCATTTTGTGTGGGTTTCTGGAAAACAATCCATTTTTACATTTCCGTACTCTTGCGGTCACCCTTTTTCTGTTCCAGACTGACCCCGGCCCCCCCATCACAGAAGCGAAAGCTTATGCAGCCCTCACAGGAAAAAGTTTGGGGACCGCTGCAGTAAATCATGCAAATATAGGTGGTGAACCCATGTAGTAGACTCTAAACTCTTAATAGAAGGGCACAGCAATGTTTTGTGCATGTGCCTGCCTGCTCTCTTTAATGATATCTAAATGAATCGGTTCATGGAATACAATTCAATTTCATTTCGAAGTCCTGACTTCCCTGCTGTAGAAGTGTGTGAGTGCTGTTTGCAGTGACACCCCACTTAAGATGGATACCACTTGTAAGATAATATTACAGGCAGTCTCTACCAGGTTGAGTCCTTGCAGATACATAAAGAGCTTAGCATTTTACACAGTGGATTCTCACTCGTCAGCCACACACAACCGTCATTGTGCTTGCATATCTCAATTACAATTCATTCATTCAATGAATTCAAATTTGTGAGTCTGAAAAGGGGGGATCGAGTACAAAGAGAGATTGACAATATGCAAGTGTGTGTAAACACAAGGCTGGTCTATCATTACTTCCTGCCCTGAGATCCTATTGAACACCTCCATAAATGCCTGAGCTGCTCTGAGCCTCAACTCAATGCTTCTACATGGCCTTTCTTGCCAGATTTGTGATTGTAGTCCCCTCCCCGACAAAAACTTGAATGCACTTGCATGCATGCTTTTAACAGGCAAGTTTATGAAAATTGCATTTATAATGTGTAAGAGTCAGGCCAAAATCTAATGAAACACACCTTTACACACAGTGAGCTTTCTTTAGTTTCTTCCCAACAACAGTTTTGTGAAAACAGCACGTAAAATATAAACGATCGCCTATAATGCCACTGCAACAGTGAATATATATATATATATATACATACATACACACACACACACACACACACACACACAAACACACACATCACAATCTCCTCACAGGGATTAACGATTTGTTTTTGCGCACAACAAGAGCGGGGACAAGCATGTACAAACTCACATACAGTTGACATAAAAAGTCTATACATCCCTGTGCGAAGGTTTTGTGATATAAAAAAAGGAAACCAACAGAAATAATTTTCAAACCTTTTCCACAATTAATTTGACCAATAACCTGGATAATTTAATTGCACAATTTTTGAAAAAGTATTTTCAAAAAAGAAAGTAAAATTCAACAACCAAATTAATGCGGCTGGTCAACTGCGCACACCCTCGTATGAGTGGGATGCGGCGCATTTAATCAATTAACCCAATCACAGTCAGGCATGGGCAAAATGAAAATCAGAACACATCTGGCATCATTTAGAGTGCCTCCAATTAATCCCAAATAAAGCTCAGTTGTTCGAGTAAGCTGTTTTCTGGCCCCTGTTCATGAAGCTCCTATACCACCACCATGTTTAATTTTGATGTTTGTTTGGTAATGAGCGATGTCGTTTTTGCGCCATATATACCTTTCATCCACAACGTTCAACCTTGGTTTCATTCCACCATGACTCATTTTCCCACATGTATTTGGGAGATTGTCTTATGGTCCAATAAAACTAAGGTTGAAGGTACTGTATTTGCCACAATTCCAAAAGATTAATTTGGCACAAACAGCACCACTCATCACCAAAAGAATACCATAACTGCAGTTAAGCTTTTGGGCTGTATTTCTTCAACTCGGAACTCGGGCTTTAGACAAGGTAAAGGGAATTAACCAGTTCCAAATACCAGTCAGTATTGCCACAAAACCTTCATACTTTGGAATGTTTTTGTACACAAGAACAAGAAAATTCAAGCAACAAAAAGAACAAGTGAAGATTATTTGAGGTTAATCAGAGGCACTTTAAAACATGGCAGGTATGCCCTGTCACTAATTCAACATGAGTTTCAATGTGATTGGTTCATTCTGAAAAGAGCCACATCCCATTTGTGAAGGGACTGTGACCAAAATTGCTGCATGTGTGATCTTTTTTATTTAGAAGTAGGAATTCAATCTGGTCATGTATATGCGAGTGCACAACACAGGCACATTATAATACATTAAAAGTCACGCTTTTTTTTTGTCAGTCTTCCATAGTTCCACATCGAGTGTACACTGACCGCTTTGGAAATGCACACAGACCGCAGATGTGCTGTTCTGATTCATTCAACATTTTAGGGTTAACGCAGGTATGGGGTTCACGCATGTGTATTGGTCCACACATCCCCTTTGATAAATATGTTGCATACATGCACATTTATAATGGGAAACGATGATCTGTGAAAGAGTGTGTGTGGCTCGGGGGGAATCAGCTCCTGTGTTTGTTGATATTTGTCATATTCAGAGGTGGGCAATTGACAATATTTTTCCAGTCCTTCATTCGTCAACAGCCTGGGCTGCTGTCCGTCATCGTCAGTCAGTCCTTATTTCAATCTGAACCAAACTGTAATCATGAGTCTGTCTTGTTATTTTAACCGTGCTTCTGTCGGTAAACTTCGGCGGTCCGCCTCTCGCCAATCCTAAAAAAAAAACAAAACTAACCCCCCCCCCCAAAAAAAAAAACAATCCAAAAGATGAAAAATCCCAATTTGATTAAAATGGTAAATGGAGTGCACTATGTATCAGCGTATCTATGGTGTTTACTCGAAAAGCCACACACACATACACTTGCATACATTTCACACAGCCGATCTATTGAATTGTTAAGTACTGTGGGTGCACGCTGGTGGCTGATTGCTGCTGTTTTAACCCCTAAATGCCTTCATCGGAATAACCGTGTCACATTGATGCCAAAGGTATAATGCTGGTGGATTAAAGTGCCGCCTGAAACCGAAACCAAGTTGCTATGACGATCAATCAAAGCTTTTCCTTCGACTTTGTCTTTTGCTTCCGTCTTTTGGCAGTTGGCAAAAAACTTTTGGTGCATCACTGCCACTTGCTGAAATGGAGAGTGGATCTGCATAATGCTCTTTAACAACTTCCTATTTAAATCCTACTCTTTCCAAAAACAAACAAATTTTAACTTAATTTACAAAAGCATTTCTGAAAAAAAAATGTCTAATATTCAAAGCTACTTTCTGACCTCTGAGCTCATTAATTATTGTCTTGCGGCTCTTACCTGACTATACTAAACACATAATTCTAAGACATACTTTATTGTCTCTTTACTGCAAACCTGTGCCAACTGTATATTAACAGTCAATGCAATCCACTCAAGCAAGCTGGCTGTATTGACACACGAGACAGGCGGCATGTGTTTGCGCCAGTCATCAGCTAAACGGGCGTCCATCAGTGACTGACTGCAAGATCCGTCAGTACTTGACCCGGTTTGTGACGATTACACTGACAGACGAAATCACACTTATACAGACCCATGGCTACTCATGTTGTCCTTGGGGCTAACTCGTACCCGCTGGCATTTTTTTTTTCAGGATATTGCACATTAATCAGAACAAAAATGCATCTTTGTTTGCAGTATCTCGTCTTGCTCTCTTCCTCCTTCGATGAGGAGGAGGAAAAGAAAAAAGTTAAGTGGAGACAATTAACTTCAAAGAGTCAGCTTGTTTACTCAACTCTGCAAACAGCAGATTATAGATCATAGTGTGCCCATATTAGATGTCCTCTCAAAAAAGAAAGGAGCTCATAACAAGGGACGGCCAGTATTTGCCATTATTGAAACCTTGACTTTTTAAAACCATGGTAAAACGTCAAACTGGTAATCGGCCCATGCCTTATATCCATTCAGTCCTTGTGGAAAGAAGATGTGATAAAAGTCACAAAAATCACCTCTGACCCCTACATATCATTTATGATTGATCGAGAGACCACAAAAGACTGTGAGATTGTCCGCAGTATTGTGAATGAAACCAATCAATGAGTAATATAATATACTGTAATTGATAAATGAACACAGTGCCATGTGCCTGTTTCATTTAAAGCATTAATGCTGTGATTAAGAAAGCCTTTTCTCACCATAATCAATCAGTGTTAAGGGGCCAGAATTGATGGATTCTGGTATCAGGCAGGATGTTAAACTGTGGTACCCCGAGGGGAAGTATGTACACGCAAGGAGGCCTCACTCTAAGATCTGGCCCCTTTGAGTTGAATTGAAAGTTATAAAGCTGTAAATTCTGAAAGTACAGCATTAATGAAAAGTAAAAAAAATCTAAAATAAAAAGCACTACATTTAAAAACACGTAAGCCTGTTGCAATGCTTTGCTGTTACTTGTTTTCGACTGTCAGGAATTGTTTTCTATGCCTGACAAAACGCAACATTCCTATTCACAGTAAAATCCTTTGCAAATGTAACAAATCCGGTCACTGTCAATCTTTACGTCATTCGATACAAATGTCTGCTGATTAAGACAACTATTCCTCAGCATGCATGGTTTTGCTACGCCCCTATTCCCCCAAAAACGGTGTGATCAAATCATGTTCTAGTGTGACCAAATGGGAAAGTGGAAATGTCCGAGTAGAGCCCTGCATTCTTGAAAATATTTGGTTTTTAATAGAGCTGTCAGTTTAGTGCATTTTTATTGGCATTAATTTAAATGAATTTTAACGGGATTAAATTTTTTCTCGCGAGATTAACGCGGCAGACGTCACAGCGGATGTTACGTTGCTCTATAAATAAGCCAGAAACAACAAGCGCGCTGCACATGTCCACGCACGTTTGTTTTGCTAGCCACGGCAGCGCGAGACACCGAAAACGGATACTTTAAGAGTTTAAAAATGGAAAGTTTACTTTTAAAAAGTTGCCAGATTGTTCCACTGACAAGACTAAAGTTACCTGTATGTTTTGCAGTCGTAAACTGAGCTATCATCATAGCACGTCGAGTCTGAAATACCACTGAATGGCCAAGCACACAGCTGACGTGAGTACTCCGCCCCCTCGTCTCAGACAGATAGCTATGGATAAGTTCAAAGCGAAGAAAATGGATAACACGACGAAGAACAAATTTGCTGAAGCCATAGCTAAATGTATGGCTACTGCATGCAAGCCTGTCAACATTAGCCCTGTTCACACGGCACACATTTGGTCCGACGCTGCACCGAAATATTTTGTTGCGATGTATTTTACACTGGAGCAAATTTTGTGGAGCGTTCACACGTGCAAAGCCGCTGAGCGTGACAACTCCGGCGCAGCGTCGAAGCAGCTCCACTTGCGGTCACACGTGCAATTTCTGCTCCGGACCAAAACGACAGGAATGCGGAAGTAAAACAGGTTCGGGTCGGGCTTCTCTCTCGCGGACTTTTATTTATTTTTCTTTTAATAAATATTATGGTGGACACTATTCTGTCCTTGTTCAGAATAGATCCACTTGTCGGCAGTCGTGGAATAAAGACGTGTTTACAGTCAATCGTGTGTGCTCCTTATGACTGCCACAATATATGTTTTAAAAAATGTATACTAAAACAATGTGCGGATACTAAACTAAGGAATACTTGTTTTAAAACAAACAATTTGGATAAAACAGAGAATGCGCTGTAATTTAATTGCTATTTAACTGCTAAACAGGAGC